CGAGAGCGGCAGCCGAGGTGTAGACCATGTCGTCGGTGACCTTGGAGGCCTTGGCGAGGATGGCACCGAGACCGAGACCGGGGAAGACGTAGACGTTGTTGCCCTGGTTGGGGTGGTAGGTAATGGCCTGGCCGTCGGGGCTCTTCATGGTGAAGGGGGAGAAGGGGGAGCCGGAGGCGAAGATGACGGTGCCGTCGGTCCACTGGACGGCCTGCTCGAAAGTGCACTCGGCCTTGGTGAGGGGGTTGCTGAGGGGGAAGAGGACGGGGCGGCGGCCAAGACCGCCAGAGTCGACAGAGGCCTTGAGGGCGCGAACGACGGACTCGGTGAAGACACCAAAGGTGGCGGTGAGACCGACGAGAGCGGTGGGCTTGACGTACTCAATCACCTCCTCGAGGGTGCGGAACTGGTGGCCGTTGTTGTCGGTGCGGGCAAAGTACTTCTTGTGCTCGGCGAGCTTGTCACCGCGGTCCTTGGTGACGAGACCCTTGGTGTCGACCAGCCAGAACTTGTCCCTGGCGACCTGCTCGCTGAGGCCACGCTTGGTGTAGTACTCGACGAGCTGCTTGGCGACACCGACACCGGCGGAACCGGCGCCCATGAAAACCAGGCGCTGCTCCTCGAGGGGAACGCCAGAGAGCTCGACGGCGTTGATGTAACCAGCGAGGACGACGGCACCAGTTCCCTGGATATCGTCGTTGAAACAGCGGTACTTATCGCGGTAGCGGTCGAGGTAGTTGAAGGCCTTTTCGGACTCAAAGTCTTCGAACTGGACAGTCATCTCGGGGTAGACCTCGGTGACGGCCTCCATGAACTCGTCCATGAATGCCTGCTGCTCGGCGACGGACACGCGCTTAGAGCGGATGCCCAGGTAGAAGGGGTCCTTGAGGTTGGTCTCGTTGTTGGTGCCGGTGTCGAGGACAATAGGCAGGGTGTTTTCGGGGTGGATACCGGCGGCACCAGTGTACAGAGCGAGCTTGCCAATCTGGGGTTGTTAGTGTTGTCAGGTATGGAGGGACGGCAGACCTACAGAGATACCGACACCGTTGACACCGAGGTCACCAAGACCCAGAATGCGGGAACCGTCGGTGACGACGCAGATCTGGGGGTTGGGGTAGGGCCAGTTGCGGAGCATGGTGCGGATGGACTTTCGCTGCTTGATCGAAATGTACAGAGCCTCCGGGCGGGTGTAGAGGGTAGAGTATTGCAGGCAGACATCGCCAATGGTGGGGGTGTAGACCAAGGGCATGAGCTCGCGGACGTTGTCAATGAGCAGGCGGTAGAAGAGGTCAAAGTTTTGGGCCTTGAGCGAGGACAGGTAGAGGTACTTGTCGACGTCGGTCTGGCGGGTGTTGATCATCTTCATGGCCCGCTGGCATTGCGTCTGGAGGCTCTCCATGGTGTGAGGGATAAGGCCGGTGAGGTTTCTGGTGACGCGCTCTTCGGGCGTGAAAGAGAGACCTGATTCGACCATGGCGGTTAGTTTGGAGGAGGAGTGGATGGGAGCACGAGGCACAGGATTGAGCGGGCGAGGAAGTAGTGAGGGAAGACGACGGGCGCGCCCAGTGAGTGAAGAAGCCATGGGAGGGGATGGGGCGAGGAATTGGGGATGTTGTGGAAGGAAAAAAGAGGGAGGCTATATAGAAGGGTGCAAACTGAAGGGATACGCCATGTTGGGGGAAGCCGGTGCGTGCAGGTGGTGCAGTAAGGTTCAGTGCGGACGCGGACAGACGGTGTAAGTGGGGGAAGCGGCAGCTGCCATCAACTCACCTTTGTTCCAGAGGGGCTCGCGCAGGATCTGGAAAGCGGTGGCCTGGGTCTTGGGCACGTATTCCGTGTTGCGGTATTGCTGCACCTCGCCAAAGGTGTTCTGGGAGTAGCCACGGTGCTGGTCGAGGGAGGCCATTCTCATCTTGTCTTCAATGACGGAGATGTCGACGGAAGACATGGGGTTGAAGTCTGTCATTCTGCGACTGGACATGGACATGCGCTTGTTAGATATAGAGGAGCGAGAGGAGCGGGCAGAGGCGACGGACGATGGCGAAGGCGAGGAGGACCGGGGCGTAGAGATGTCTGAGGAGCTGGCTGAACTGAAGGGATACGACGCCATTGACATTACCGGCGCATGTGTCGGTGGGAGAGATGCGGAGAAGAAAGAGGAGGTGGGAGTGGGCGACGGAACGAGGCAATTAGTAGTTGTTGGAGCTCCGAGGCGAAGCAGACGAGCGTGATGGGTAGTGGTGCGTGTGGTGCGTGTGGTGTAATGGGACCGGCCGGAACGTGATATTAGTCGTTGATGAGGAGGACGCAGCAAGAGACCAGCTTTCGGAGAAGGCGCAGGAAGGCAATTTAGAGTATGGTGAGAGCGTGGAGTCGCAAGAGTTGCATTGGATGGACCAACAGAGGGGAAGGGCGTTGTGTTCCCTGCAACTGGATCGCGGACGAGGAAAAGTCGGTTTAAAACCTTGTGAACTGGTCCGGTCCTCGATGGAGGTTTGCCCGGCCAGGTACAGCGACTTAGACCCATGGCCACGGAGGATCTGAGAATGATAGGGAGAAGGGGGTTTCAAGGCAGTTTCACAAAGGAGGGATGGCAGCAAGGCCAGGCGCCGGCAGAGGCGTCGAGGTACCGGGTACTTGCCTGGACGATGGACGAGCGAAGCCTGGAGACGGGGGACGGGAGACGGGCGGACGAGGAACGAGAATTGGGAAAGCGATGGAGGGATGGGACGGCGCAGAAGATGGGATGGCGGGACAAGGGAGTGCTCTGTGACTGTGCGTTGTGGCGTGCGGACTACGTAGCAGGTCGAGCGTGCGCTGGAGCTCCAAGCTTTGATTCGAATCCAACTGTATGATGTGCTTCCAAGGTTTCCGCCCAGGCGTATCCGTACACAGACGACAGAGTAGGGAGACTGGCACCCGAATCGGGGTCGATTGTGCAGAGGGTTTGCTGCAGGTCGTGGCAGGGTGTGCGGCGTGGAGCCGGGAGACCAGGGTGGTTGAATAACGGGGGCGACGAGGGTCCGTCGACGACCGGGGTGGTTAAGGGTTGAGACGGGGGTGTTGGTGTGGAGGGTGGGAGAAGACGGAAGCCAGACCCGATCCTAGGAATTGGCAATTTCTTTTTTTTTTTTTTCCTTTCTTGTTGATGGTCGTTTTTTTCCGAATTCGTGCCCAATTCTGGCTGAATTCGCAGAGTTGGAGAAGGCCGATGAAAATTTTCAAGTTGGGGTAACTGGGTACCTCGTTAGGTTCTCCGTACGGAGTATACAGGAAGCTCTAGGCGACACAAGGACGGGGCGTGTACGAGGGCCGAGAGGGGCGTCGGTGAGGCGACGGGAGGCGGCAAGGTGAAGAGGTGGTGACGCCGGGACGGTGTATCCGGAGACGAAGTACGAGGTCCAAGACTCAGGAGGTGATTCTCACTTCTGCGTAGCAAACCGAAAATTAGCCTAGAGAACAACACAGTGGTGCTTGTGGACGGCCCGTTTCCGTCAGCTCACAATGGCGTAGATTGCGCAGAAGCTTGATGCTATCTTGGTCTTTGCAATTGGGTGCCGCGATGCCAGATGGAGCAGGCATGGAAGCTGACGAAGGACCGGGAAAGGGGCCTGCCTACCTGAGAAACGAGCTGCAGTGGAGATGGTCTGCTGTCCGTCACTCGAAATAGTGCACACGGCGGATAAGGTGAGCTGACGGAATGCGGACGATTTAGCTTCGCTTCGCTTCGTCGACGTGGGAGGGTGTTCGTGGGCGTGAAAGTGAGCGTGGGAGGCGTGGGATGTCAGCCCAAGCAAGTTGCCAGCGGCGCAGCGGCAGTCTGTCCGGCGGCGAGTGGAGTCGGGCTATCCGTGTCGATGTGCGTGGAGTGGTGTTTCTTTCCGAGCGATGCAATTGATCCAGTTCGGTCTCGTCAAGATCATATTGGGTGATGTTTCCCCTGGATGGTCGTCGATGGACGAAGCTTCGGATCGGAAAGAAAGAAGCAAATGGAAGTCTACCTCAAAGTGAAGCAGGGCAAGTGCGTGGCTTCCTACGTGCCCAGGTGCTCCTGCTATTTTATTTCTACACTTGATTCACGGAAGGCAGCTCCGACCACGGGATCGGTCCTGCCATGCTCATTGACGATGCAGAGTCATAGGGCCATTACTTCGTACCCAGGCATCTTTTGAAAATGGCGCGCTGAATCTCACCAAATCAAAGAATGGAACATGCGCAGAAAAAGGACATTTCGCGGAGTCATCGTCGCTGCCAATCGGCCCTGCCCCCCGACCATGATTGTTTACGGCTTTCTCGTGCTTGGGTCACTCCACATTCTTTTCTCTGTTTGGTTTACCACGCTTTTTTATCTTATTTTTTTTTCTTCGTCCCCTGACCTAGCGACCGTCGTCTCCCCTTGCGCCCTGGTCCCAATGCCCATCGACTCTTCCGCCCCAGTGAGACACGGCAACTCTCCAAAGTCGACACAGGATCCAAAGGCTCAGACGCCCGCAGAGACGTCCACGGCCTCTTGTGCAGACGTCTTACGTACAGTCATCATCCACGGCACCTAGACGCACCCAAGCTTCACCTAGCTGCGGCTAAGCTGTACTGCGGCCTGCCTGCTGTACCCCAAAGGACCTCTTTTTGTTGGGATGTCTGATCCCTCCCGCCTCTCCAGAATCCTCCAACCGGTGAGAAGAGAGAGGTGCGACGTCGGCACAAACACCAGAAATCCCCGACAAATACGGCACAATGTGTCAACCGTCGGCACTTTCAACCCCCCAAAAAGTCGTCAGCCATGCAGCCCAATGTACGTTGTCGTCGCACTCGAGCCCTCGACCCTGTCAAGCCTTGCTGCACTTGCACCTGCATCCCATTCCCGCCTGCGGCCTGCCCCCCTCACACCCAAAGACGTCGACCCTTGAGCCAACTCCACCGGAAGAACAGGAGAACATCCACTTGGGCTTCCCTCGCGAGGTGGAACCGTCCAAGTTGGAATCCATCGTCCATAGAACTTCCTCCTTCTCCATCACCGGCCGGACATCTCGCCGACGCTAGCTGTACCTAGCAAGCACCCGTCCGGGCCTCCTCCAACCTACAATCTCGAATCCGCCCTCCGACGGTCCCCGGGACCGCTACGGCCTCTGTCCGTACGCAGTATTCGTACAGACTACGAACTGCTCTTTCTGTGCGCACGCGACACTCCAGCCTGGCCAATGCCTCGCACGTCGCATTCTCCATCCGTTTCGCTGACGTGCTCACAAGGAACGAACGAAGCTTTGTAAAAGGACGCCCCCATGCCCCCGACCCGTGGACGCCAACAGTGTCTTCGTTCCATCTTTCCATCTTGTCCGTCGCACTATTGCTTGGTGAAAAGCAAAAACCAGGGGCTCGGCCGGCCAACGCAATGTCCAAAGTCTAACAAATCAACAACTACTATTGAAACGAAGGAACCAAGAACGACGGGGGATATCTTCAATCGTCGGCCAATGACGGCCGTCACATTTGTTGGCCAGCCTCCTCTTCCGGCTAGTCTCTGTCACAGCGTCCCGAACCGTTGTCCTCCAGTCTGTGAGCATTGAGGGAGTGTGTTGCACTCTGGGCGAGCCTCCGGGCCTTCCAGGCTTCCACAAGCTCTACACTAGGCACTTGGCCGGGTCGGCCGTCGGAATCCAAACCCATGCAGTCTTTAATGCGACGCTGCCGTGCCTGCAGGTACTTTTCGCCCCTTGGCAAATTCCGGGTCCCCTTCTGGAATATGACTGAAGACCCAGACCTGAATAGACGACGCTCGCGAAATCTCCCAATGGATACGAAATGACGGAGGGCAGTCGGCGGGATATCGGGTTAAAGATTCATCAGGCGATATCCCGCCCTATCAAGTGCTGGAGCACGTCAGAATCAAGCCCCCCGCGGAACGTGCTGCGATATCCCGCGGTCTGAACTCGTGTTCAACGCCCGATACGGCGCCGTTTGCTGCCCATCATCTTCCCACCATCCCGTGAGCGAGGTGGACCGCAGCCCCCAAATCTCCAACTAAGCAAGATAAGCAACGCGAACAACACATTGACAACGACACCGTCGACTGCATACCGAGCATGACTCTCCCTGAGTCCCTACAAGCCTCAGACACGACGACTTCCCGAGTTTGCCCGATCCCTCCACAGGGGTTCCGCTTAGCGGCAAGCCACAACAAGGCGAACCCACACCGCACGCTGACGGCAGACCCACCGGTACCGAATGCCAGGCCTGGCTCCAAAACTTTTCACCCCCTGGTCGTGGGCGTGGCTCCCTCCCGACTTCACAAGTTTCCCGCTCCTCGCTGAGACTCGACTGGATTCCCCCTCTCCTGGCCGTTCATCACACTCGATGAGGATCTTCTGCGGATTGAAACAAGGACTTCCACGCGTCCAGTCTAGTCTCTCCTCTCGGCGCCCGTCCCCCACCCGTCTCAAACACGACTCTGCTTGCAAATCACAGTTTCGGCCGTTTTGAAGCACGCACAACAAGTCATGCCCGAGGGTTGCTGCCACCGTCCACTGGGCAAGACAGGGTCTGTTGTTAATGGTACTTGAGATCGAAACTTCAGACGAAACCACGTTAAATGGACGTCAGGTTGCAATGCCTGCCGCTGGTGGACCAAGTTCACGATACTTGCGATTGCGCATGGCGTTCGTCTCGGCGCCATGTCAGCTTCGGTCTCTGCATCGCGAGCTAGGCGATGGCCGGGGCGTCCTGGGGTCCGTCCGGTCATGTCGTTGAGGTTGGTGATTTCAAGGTTTGAAGTCGGGACTTTTTCGTCCTCCACGCACTTTGACTTTGGCGACTTGGTGAACTCTAGACAACACCGAATTTGGACCGCCGTTCATCGTCAACAGCAGCATCGCTCAATCCCCGAGACACCGTAGCAGTGTACGGAGTTGCAACAGCTTATCTTGATTCCCCAGACTTCCCACACGTGCTGAGACAACCTTCTTCACCCGCGATCCTGCTCTCGCCTTGGCAACCTTGGCGTCTGGACAAACGCCGCCAAGCTTCTTGTCAACAACGATCAGACGCGTCAACCTTAACCCAACACTTTGGCTCTGGCTCACCGCTTGGACCATGGCCGTTCACCGGGCACCTGACCAGGCACCTGACGTCGTCTGCAATATATCTTACCTAACATTACCTAATAGCAATCTTGCTCTGCATATCTGACCGTCACGGTTGAACCGTCAACACGCTGCTGACAAAATCGACATGTTTCACCCTCTCTTTCTCGATGGACGTCTTTCGTGGAGTTGGACTGGAGTCGATGCGGGTAAACGCCGGCCAGCCGCCAGCGGACGATTGCCGTCTTGCGCAAATGTCAGCCATCCCGCACCTCCAGAACCTGGCCCGGCGTCGCTAGCCCGCTCCACTGGCGGCTCTTTCGAGCTAGAGGCTAGAGCCCTCAAACCTCCCCGGCCCCGCATGGAGCTAAAGACGGGGGCGTCGCACCCCGCACGATGCAACTTTGGAGCTGTCACGCTTCCGACAAGCTCCGTTGGTCTCCGTATTTCGGAACCGGTTCCTCTGACGCGCCAACCATTTTTTTTTGTGCTGGATACTCGTCGACGGTCGACGTCTCCATGGCCATGGAGCCCATGGATGATGGATATGCTACCCCGGCCTCCATCTCTCGGGCACCAACGAGGTGCCGCCAGATGCAAGATCATCTAGAGATTGCCGCCCCTGATTGGGTCTTCCTCTGCAGCAAGCTCTCTCTGGGGAAAGGCTTTCGGACATTGCCCGAGTCCGCCATGGGATTGTCGTACTGACGCTTAGAGTTTTGTGCGTCCACAGCCTCGTCCAGATCCCCCACACCAACCCTCACCACGACAATCATGCCCCACGGCGGAGGAAATACTCGGAGTGGGCGTGTCGGGGTCTCCGACTCCTCCCGAGAGGCAGAAGCTAGTCCGTATAGCTTCCAGCACCCAAGGGACGCAAGGAGGAATTCATGCTTCGCGTCGTATATCGTGGCCTGTGAGGGCAGCAAAACCCACAAACCCGCAATTGGAAAATTCGTGTCGGTCTACTCATAATGGCAGATGGTATGAATCGACGATCGTGCAAGTTTTCCGGTGCAGGAGTCATGCCGGCGAAGCGACATCGGCCATGGAGCAGACCAATGGACTTACACAGTTCCTGCTTCACCCGGTTGGTTTCTATGCTCGCTTGATTTCTCCAATTCGAGGGCCGTCACATGGGTATGCGGGCGACAAGATGTCTCTGGGCGTTGGGGTATATGGTCCACGTTGCGAGGGATGTTGCTGGCCGTGTATCACTGTGAGCCTTGGGCAGCGTCAACCACATGCAAAATGCACCGCCATCGCTTCGGATGACATGTGGAAGCAATGGTGTTTTGTCAGGAACCTGCAATGCACCATCCCGTCCCGGACAGCTCTGTTCTGATAGACCAACGCCCTCGCGACGGCCATCCATACTGGTTCTTCGGAAAGTCGACATTGACTTGGTTGCGGTCGATGACTTGCATCTTCCAATGCTACCGCATGTCAACCTTTCGTTGAACCCGCGAAAGGCCCTCGCAGTCGACATCATGAAGATTGCGTCGGCTTGAGGCATGTGACTGTCCATTCCGAGGGCATCATCGATGTGCCGTTCCAAGCCTCGATGCCTCGGGGAGGTTCAATTGCCCGACGGGCACGCTGTGCTCCATGGCCATCAGCTGACGGAGACTTCCCTGACTGGCGATCGCGAAGCCGAGGTAATGCCATCTTGTACGACGTCTTGTCTGTGTGCTACAGGATGCCAGGCTGAGATCCTGATCCCCGGGCCAAGACGATAGCACGCCGTCGAGCAGGGTGTCGTTGCATCCTCGCCGAAATCCGGGGATTATCGACCCTCGAACGGGAATAAGAGTCGGTGCCGGGAGACCTCCACTTATGTGGGCTCGCAGCCGCCGTTGGGCATGGAGGTCCGGGGCCGCGTCCGGTCCGATGCCGAGTGCGGTGGCAGTGCCCTCGGTCCCGTGATGTCGCGTCTAAATCAGTATGAATGGTTCTATGGCTGATTCGATAGATTGTTGTGAACTGTGTGAGGTTTTCGGCGGCTTCTCGGGGATGGCCTGCTCAACTGCTCGGTGAGGCCGCGAACCAGATGCCATCCAAGCCTTTCTGTCTTCGCATGGGCGAGCTGAAGGAGACAGGAGTCATCGGTACGGGCTTCTCCTCTGCTCACTCCGCACACGCGCAGCTTCCAGGTAAGTTGGCAGAGGAGCCGTTCAAGCCCTCTTGGACGTGAACGTACCTGGGAGTCAACTTGGCCCAGAGGCGAGTAGTTGAAGAGGATTGTCGTCCGGTAAGATGATGACCGTGGCCCCGACCCTCTTGGAGTGTGCCCAGTGATCATACGGGCATCACCTCGTCTAGCCCCGGCAGCCGCGCTGACAGATCAGTTCACACGGCAGCGGACGACTTGTTCCAGGGACGGCTTGAAAGATCGTACTCTCTGAGTGCGCGCGCATTCCGGTGTGGCCGCTGGATTCGGTGTTTGGCTGCTTAGCAGAAACGCCAAAAGCCCTTTTGCTTTCCGCTGATGTTGATAGACCTCGCATTGCGTCGGAAGACTGCGCTCGAGAAGTTCGTGTCGAAAGAAGCTAGAAGCTGCCCTTCCCGTCCCCGTGATGATCTGTACCTCACCGTAGAAGCATCCATCGTTCGGCGACTTGGATCTGCTCTAGCGTGACTCTTCGTGTGCTGGCTCGTAAGTCTCGTTCATCGTTAGGAGAGGCCAAATCTCCGGGGTTCAACGGAGACATCATTCTCGTCCTTGTCCTCCGCGGGTTGACGCCGTCGTTTTGGATTTCTCGACCTGTGAAGAGCCACGACCTTTCTTCTCCCCGACGAGGTCGAAAGTCCAGCCGTGCGAGCTACCTCGACTCAGGGCTCTTGAACTCTGGAGATTCTAACAAGCACTAGTTAACAAAACTGTTCCGTCATCTTTTCTAAAAGATTTGGGGGGGGGGGG